GGTGCCACGGAGGAAGGCCTGGCAGCCGGCTTCCGTAAAGATGACAGCCAAGGAAGCCCTGTGGGGTAAAATCTACTCTGTCCCAGGGGGTTGCCATGAGTTAAAGTCAACTCGACAGCAAGGGGTTAGGGATTCGAGTTCAAGGCTCCCTCGACTAAGCGTGGGTACCAGGAGGACCCCAGCATTCAGGCCTTTGAGCAGTAAGTTCCGAGGGCGGCTCTCCGCACCTGGCTCAGTTGGGTAGGGAAACGACGGGATTCCTTCCTGAGAAAAGCGTGGCAGTGGGTCTGCACAGAGAGCCCTACTGTGCCGACTGCCCTCTGCAGCTGGCCAGGAAACACGACATGGTGGTGGTGTCACCGATGCTGGAGAGGGACGCCACGCACGGGGACGTCTTGTGGAACACAGCCGTGGTGATCTCCAACTCAGGCACCGTCTTGGGGAAGACCAGGAAGAACCATATCCCCAGAGTGGGCGACTTCAACGAGGTGGGTCCCCCGACATCTGGCAGCTGCCCACTCGCTTCGCAGGCCCCTCTGTGAGGGACATCCCATGCGGTAACTGTCGGGTTTCATAGCACTGAAAACCCAGCCCCGTCTGGGCCTTGCTGTGGTGGGGGGGGGTCCTTGTCCCTGGCCCATGGGGGCGGGGGGTCCCTGCTGGAGTGGTGGGTGACAGTGATGACCATGCACGTCTGGGCCTTGCTGGGGCGGGGGCTCCTTGTCCCTGGCCCATGGGGGCTGGGGGTCCCTGCTGGAGTGGTGGGTGACAGTGAGTGACAGTCTACATCTCTGTGCATGCATGTCTCGTGGGATTTCTCTTGCTTGTGGTCAAGGCGTAAATCGGGGTGAGGGGGCTGTTTGATTGAGGTATGCAAACGTGGGTGGGATGGGGGGGGTGGCCACTGGAAGGAGGGGATGGACTCTTACCTCATAACTAAGATGCTGAGCCTGGACTTGATTGGCAGTAAATAGACCACCTCCTCACTTAGTGACTGTCTCTGTATCTGACATTTTGGACCTACAACCACAGTAAAAAAATTTATCTCACTGTTTTGTGCATTAGCAGTGTACATCTGGCCATAACAAACACCAAGGTGTGAGGTGAGAGCAACACTGGTTGAAGTGGTTAAGGTTATGTGTCAGTTTGGCTGAGCCAGATTATGTAGTTTGGCAGTTACGTGATGTGGCTTGGCACTTATATGATGAAGTGATCTGACAGTTATGTGAGGGTGTGATTTGGCAGTTATGTCAAGTGATTTGGCAGTTATGTGATGAAATTATTTGGCAGTTACGTGAGGGTGTGATTTGGCAGTTATGTGAGGGTGTGATTTGGCAGTTATGTGGTAATGTAGTCACCTCCATTTTGTGATCTGATGTGTCATCTCCATTTTCACCTAACAACCTGGACTTGGAACCTAACTGTCAATAAATGAAGAGTAGGTGTACAGGAGTTCAGGGTGTGATGGCCCCATCTTGTGCCCCCTCGTGGGCAGCTCCTGGTCAGTGTCAGGTCAGTCAGGCAGTTGAGGGACTGTCCCTGGGAGAAGGCCCTGCCCCATGTTTCCCAGGAGCAGCTGGAGAGGGGGTGGAGGATTCGCCCCTCACCGTTTACCCTAGATTAATCTTTAGCCCTGCGGTTGGAGCCAGGCTTGTCACAGCTTGGTGGGGCCTGCGTGTCCTCGTGTGCACGCCCTGTGCTGCCCAGCTCCTGTGGGTTTTGAAATTGAACGGGAAGAGGTGATCTGTTTGGGGACCCGGCTTGCCCCCTAGCCCCTCTCAGTGCCATCTTTGAAAGTGTCCCCACCCGGAGGGACAGACGCAGAGGCAGGCATGGGAAGGTTATGGCCCTGCCTGGCTCCTCCAGGGCAGCTGTGCCCACCCTGCAGGACATCCTCCCTGGGCAGGGCGTCCAGCGCTGTGCAGACCAGGTACTGCCAGGACATGAGTTTGAGTCTCTCGTTTGGCCACGGTGAGCCAGGCAGGCTGTGGCCTCTGAGCGTCTGTCCTCCCGTCCGGACAGGGAGCGGGCTGCTCCGTGGCAGCTCTGGGTCCCGTCAGCTCTGCCAGCCTCCAGGACACTGCGCGGCTCATACAAGCCCTGACCGGGCCCCAGCCACTAGTGGTTGCATGAATGCGACCTAACCATCGCTTGTCCTTGAGATACTGTGGGAAGCTGCTTCAGGGACCTTCTTTAGGTCACAGACGAGACCTCAGGCATGACCACCCTTGGGGTTGGTTGGTTACTGTGTCTGGGTTTTTTTCTTGCTTTTTTAAGAAACATTGAAATTCTGTCTGCGAAACTCCACATAACGTGGATGCACTTGGAGGACATTATGCTGAGTGAAATAAGTCAATCACAGGCCAAATATTGTCTTAGTTCACTATTGTAAAAAGTCAAGGAAATTTATGGAGGGAAGAAAACTTTTCTTTGTTCGTGACTGGGAAGGGGAGGGCGGGGGAAGGAAAGTCACTAGATAGGTTAATAAAAATGCTGTGTGTATGTATGGGGCTCTGGTGCCGTGGAGGGTAAGACCTGTGGCTGCTGACCAGAAGGCCTGTGGTTCAAACTCACCAAGAGTTCCATGGGAAGGAGATGAAGTGATCTGTTTCCACAGTGATAGCACCTTGGAAACCCAAGGAGGGTCGCTGTGAGTCAGGATCACCTCCATGGCCATGGGTACTTGTGTATGGAATCTTTGGTGTATATAAAAAAAAAAATCTCACTCCTGTTGAGTCGGATCCAACTCATAGCCACCCCTCCCTGGGTTTCAGAGGCAGTATGTCTGTGGAAGTAGGTTGCCCAGTCTTCCTTCCGAGGAGTGGCTGGTGGGTTTGAACTGTGAACTGCCAGCCTTCTGGTTAGCAGTCAAGTGCCTTAGGCACTGCGCCACCAGAGCTCTGTTGGTGTATACACATATACACATACACATACACATATATGTACGTATGCATACATGTATATATATGTGTGTGGTTACCAGATCATTAGTGGTTACCAGGGTAGGCGGGAGGGGGTGGAAGGTTTTGTTTGTGGGGTATTGAGTTGATGCTAACAGTGGTGGAGTATTTTGGAAATGGATAGCAATGATGGTGGTACAACATGAGAGTATTACCAGTGTCCCTGAGCTGTAAATCAGGACATTGTTACGCTGGTCAATGTCTTGGTGTATGTTTCACCACAATAAAAGTTAATAATAATGAAAGAATACCTACAAAGCTCCAGCAAGCCCTGTGAAACACAGATTAGCCGTAAAACAATGTTTATTTTGTAAACATGGTTCCCTTCTGCTGGTCCAGTCCGGGCCGGGGGGGAGGGGGTGCCACTGTCGGGCACCAAATGCTAGGCCTTTGTCTTCCAGTCCTCTTACTACATGGAAGGCAACCTGGGCCACCCCGTGTTCCAGACCCGCTTTGGGAGGATCGCCGTCAACATCTGCTACGGACGGCACCACCCACTCAACTGGCTCATGTACAGCATCAACGGGGCCGAGATCATCTTCAACCCCTCAGCCACCATCGGCGCACTCAGGTCACTCGTCACGCGGGGCGCTCAGGGTCCCTGGGGCCGGGGCTCGGGCCGGGCGGGCAGGGCCACCGGGAGTCTAGGCTGAGCAGTCTACCAATCGTCCAGTTCAAAGAACCCTGCACACTACAGTCCCCAAGCCCCGAAACAGACACCCCTTGTGCAGTACCCACATTGGCTAGGATATCGAACGCTGACCAGAAGACCCCAGGCCCCCTCCCCGGCATTCAGAGCCTTTCAGGTGTGGAGTGGAGTGGGTACCTGGCGTCCAAAGGTCTCCTCCATCACAGGGCTGCTCACCACGGGCGCTCCTGGGGCAGGGGGCTGCAGAGAGGGGCTGCCAGGGCCGCCAGTGCGAGAAAGGGAGGCAGGTGGAGCTGAGACACGTCCTAGGGCTGCAGTAGCAAGGTCCCACAAAGTTGCAAGGCCAAAGGTGGTGGAAGTTTCTTCCCTCACTGTTCCGCGGGTGGGCGGCCTACCTCTCCGGGCCAGGAGGCCACATTCCTGGATTCTTCCTGGGAGAATCCGTTTCATGCCTTCCCTTTGCTCCTGGAGCTGCGGGACATCCTTGGAGCTCGTAGATTCCTTGTAGATTCCTCCTGGCTCCACGCAGGCCTCTGTCACCATATGGCTGTCTTCCCTGAGTGGGACTGGATCTCTTCTCTCCTCCTGGAAGGATGCCAGCCTCTCTGGTGGTGCAGTGCGTAAGGCATTTAACTGTTAACCAGAAGGTTTGACAGTTCAAACCCACCAGCCGCTCCATAGAAGGAAGGTAGGGCAATCTAGTTCTTTACTGCCTCAGAAACCCAGTCGGGGCGCTGTGAGTCAGTCAATTCCACGGCAGTGGGTGTGGTTTGGGCTTTGCTTCTCTGAAGACTGACAGCCTTGGAAGACCCTGTGGGGCAGTTCCACTCTGTCCTCTAGGGGCGCTGTGAGCAGAAATAAACTCCAAGGCAGTGGGTGTGGCTTGGGTTTTGCTTCCGTAAAGATTGACAGCCTTGGAGACCCTGTGGGGCAGTTCCACTCTGTCCTCTAGGG